TACTCATCGACATTTCTTTCTGTGTTAAATAAGTGCTATGTTGGATCTGAAAACCCACAGTATGGTAGGAGGGTTCAGGGAATGGAGAGTTCAGGCTTTTCTTTGAACTCTTTTCATCTCTTTGTCTTTTTGTCTTCTGGTCTTTTCGAAGGATGTTTTATCGTAGACTTCTCTTTGCCAATTGATTCTTTCTACATTCTCCTTCTAACAAGTGACCGGATAGATTTCTGTCCTCAGCAAGGTATTTTTGAGCTGATCCTTAAATCGAAGACATGGGGCTTCAGGTCGTCTCTTGCCATAATGCGAGCTCCGAGAAGAGCATTTGTTTTGGTAGGCGGATGTCAGTTATATGGAAAAAGATGTCCAGACCATTGAAGTCGGTGGCGTGTCATGATGAGATCTAGGTCTTCTAGCTTTGCGCAGTGGGAAAAAAAATTCGTTGTTCGCGATTAATGCCCGTCACTTGATCCGCAAGATTTGAATCATTTGATGGAATCTTTCAAGTTTGCTGATCTTTCTTCGGGAGAGTACCCAGGACTCACAGGCATACAGGAGAGTCGAATTTACAACAGATTGGTAGACCATGAACTTGATGAGCTCCGGAAAGTGGATTTGTTCTGGTAGACAAATGTCAGGCAATGTGTTCTGCCCATCGAAGTCTGTGGCAAGTCATAATGGTTTCTTGGATTTCCATCTCTCTGCGCGAAGGAGAATTTCGTTGTTCGTGATCCAATCCTGTCAAGTGCTTCACGGGATTTGACAAAGTTTCATTTGATGGAGTCTTTCAAGTTTGCTGATATCTCTTCGATAGAGTACCCAGGTATCACAGTCATACAGGTAAGTCGAGTTTAAAAAAGCTCCGAAGACCATGAACTTGGAGATTTGAGCAGTCATCTATAAGAATTCATTCACATTTATTGTACTTTACCGATTGCTTTGTCAGCATCTACTGCAATTTCTGTCCTCAGCAAGGTGTTTTTGAACTGATCCTTGAATCGACAATGTGAGACTCTACTTGCCCCTTTCGACATACGAGCTCCGGAAAGAGGTTTTTTTTAGGTAAGTGGATGTCAGGCAAGGTGTCCTACCCATCGGAGTTGGTAGCGAGTCTGAATGATTCTCCATCTTTCCGCGGAGAACTTCATTGTTCAGGATTTGTTTCTCTCACTTGTTCCGCAAGAACTGACTGTTTTATTTGATGGAGTCTTTCAAGTTTTCTGATGTATCTCTGGTAGAGTACCCAGGACTCACAGGCATACAGGAGAGTCGAATTTACAACAGATTGGTAGACCATGAACTTGGTGAGCTCCGGAAAGTGGATTTGTTCTGTTAGCCGGATGACAGGCAAAGTTCCCTGCCCATGGAAGTATGTGGCAAGTCAATGATTTCTATGCTTTACACCTCTCTGCGCGGAGGAGAATTTCGTTGTTCGTGATTCAATCTTGTCATATGTTTCGACAGGATTTGACAAAGTCTCATTTGATGGAGTCTTTCAAGTTTTTTCATGTCTCTTCGGTAGAGTAGCAAGGTCTCACAGTCATACAACAGCTCGGTAGACCATGGAGTTGGTGATTTGTGCAGTCAACTATAATGCGAGCTCCGGAAAGACGATTTGTTTTGGTAGACGGATGTCAGGCAAGGTGTCCTGTCTATCGAAGTCTGTGGCAAGTAATAATGATTTCTAGGATTTCCATCTCTTTGCGCGGAGATTTCGTTGTTCATGATTCAATCTTGCCAAATCTTCCACAGGATTTGACAGAGTTTCATTTGATGGAGTCCTTCAAGTTTGCTGATGTCTCTTCGGTAGAATACCCAGGTCTCATAGGTATAGCCGAGAGAATTATAACAACTAGGTAGAGCTTGGTGGTTTCTTTTAGCCGAGTACTTCCGAAGGCTCTTCTGAATAGTAACTTAAAAATGCATATAGCATTTTTAAACTAATGCTATTATACATTTTTAACAATTGCCGGTCAATTCCTTTCTATGGAATGGTTTTTTTTCCAAAAAATTCTATAACTACAACAGTTAAATTTAAATATCCTAAAGTAACCATAACAGAGCACGATCGCGCGTGTTTTTAAAAATAACTATGACAATGGGACGCAGATTTCATCGTACTTACAACAGGGTGTTTGTTTTTGCTATTTACCCCCTGAAGATGATCTTAGAAAAGGTCGAAAATACTTCGGTTAAAAAAACAAAAAAATTCCTTCCCTGATGAATTGCATTTCAACATCAAGAAACAGATGAGACGACTAGAAAAAACAAGTAAACACAATATGTTATACTATCAATATATATGTATATATATATATATTATGAAATGGACAAAGTCCTACAATTATTTTAAGACATTTTTATGTTCATACATTCTTTTTATAGATACAAATATTTAAGAAAATGCTCTGTTTATAATAAACAGTATTAAACAACATTTACCGGCCTGAATGTCCGAGAAATTTTCATAGAAAATATTCGTCCTCCGACAGGATTCGAACCTGTATCCTATACGGAACCGTCATTTAGCTTGATGTGCTTTAACCAACTTGGCTACGAAGGAGCGTTCGGCTAGCAATGTCGAATTTATTGTATTTAAATTTCCATGAACCTCAGGCCGGTAAATGTTGTTTAATACTGTTTATTATGAATAAAGCATTTACTTAAAAATTTGTATCTATAAAAAGAATGTTAAGCATAAAAATGTCTTTATATATATATATATAAATTTTCTAGACGTAACATTTGATCTTGAAAATGAGATTGTTCATAACTTAACTATATATATATATATATATATATATATATATATATATATATATAACCTATCCATCTCAGTCAGTGTCTTACCTACGAAGTGTTGCTGACAAGCTCGACCAAAAAATAAATAAATAAATAATATGCAAGACAAGATCTAGGTTTTGCTTGAGCGTTTCTTTAGATTTCGGCATACAGTTTAAGCCAATAATTTTCAGCACTCCCTTGTGTATCTCTCCCGATATAAAACAGATTTGTTCGAAATGTCAGAAAGATTAGTTTTAAAATTTGGATAAGAAATAATTTTTTGACATTCTTCATATTTTCTTTAGATTTTTTATTCAGATGCCGATGAGCCATGATGCAAATCCAGAGAGCTACTCGAAATTTCAGCCGTTAATTTTGAACTGTTTTTTTTTGGGGGGAGGGGGAGCAAATATTATTAAATACATTGAAGTGAAAGTATTTTATTACTAGTTGTACCCCATCTTATAAATGTTGCTTTTTACATGAAAATTTTCACTACTGTTATTTTATTATTAGCTTTATGCCACTTTATAATTGTGGTTGGCTTTTAGATGAAGCATTTTCAGCAATTATGTTTTCATTGCTAGTTTTCCTCCGCATTATTATTGTTGCTTTTTAGATGACGCATTTTCAGCAAATATGTTTTTATTACTAGTTTTACTCCACATTATTATTGTTGCTATTTAGATGAAGCATTTTCAGCGAATATGTTTTTATTCCTAGTTTTAGTTCACATTATTATTATTGCGTTTTAGATAAGAAATTTTCAGCAATTATGGTGTTAGTGTTAGTTTTACGCCATATTATTATTGTTGCGTTTTAGATGAAGAATTGTCAGTAATTATGTTTTTATTACTAGTTTTATTCCAAATTATTATTGCTGCTATTTAGATGAAGCATTTTCAGCAATTATGTTTTTATTGCTAGTTTTAATTGACACTATTAATGTTGCTTTTTTGATAAAGGATTTTTAATATTTTTACTATTTTATTATTTTACATCAATGAAAGAAAGAAAAAAAAAAGAAAGAAAGGTGAAGATAAAAAGGAAGATAAAGACAAGAAGGGGGAAAAATAGGCGCCAAAGAAGGAAAAGTAAATAATTACAGGGAAAGGAAGAGAGATATGATGAAAAAAAAAACAAGAGAAAAAATCGTTCAGAAGAAGGTAAATGTAAAGAAAGAAAAAAGAAAAAGAAAGAAAGAAAAAGAGGGAGACAGAGAGAGGGAGAGAAAGGAAAGGAAAATTAAACACGGTGGACAAGAAGAAGAAAGAAAGAAGGTACGGAAGATGGAAAGAATGAAAGATAGAATCAAGTAAACACGGAATGGTAGATGGCAGGAAAGAAAGAACCAAGGGAATAACGAAAGAAAGCAAGAAAAAAAAAGAAACAAACGAAGAAAGAAAGAAAGAATGGAAAGGAGGTAGAAAGAAAGAAGGATCCAAGTAAATAAAGAAAGAAAGAAAGAAAGAAAGAAAGAATCAAAGAAAGAACGAACTAAAGAAATAAATAAATAAATACAGAAAGAAAGAAAGAAAGAGAGAGAGAAAGAAAGAGTGGAAGGATGAAAGAATTAAGTAAAGGAAGGAAGAAAGAAAGAAAGAAAGAAAGAAAGAAAGAAAGAAAGAAAAAATGAAGGGGAAATCAGAGGAATAAGAAAAGGAAAGAAAGAACGAACGAAGTGAAGACAGACAGAAAGAAAGAAAGAAAGAAAGAAAGAAGAGCTGAGACAGAAGAAAGGGGTGATATGATTAGAAAGAAAGAAAGAAAGAAAGAAAGAAAGAAAGAAAGAAAAATTAAGGAAAGAACGCATGGAAGCTGGACGGAAAGGAAGAACCGAAGAAAGAACGAAATAAATAAATAAATAAATAAATAAATAAATAAAGAAAGAAAGAAAGAAAGAAAGAACGAACGAAAGAAAGAAGAAAAGATAGATAAATAGAACGAAAGAAAAGAAAGAAAGAAAATGATAGATAAAAGGTCGGAGAATAAAGGCGCAAGTGAAAATGGATGGTATTAATCTAAGAATAGAATAAGAAAAGACGACGTAGAAAGGAAACGAAAAAACACAAAAAAAACAAAACAAAAAAACAAAAAACAAAAAAAAACAAAACAAAAAAACAAAAAACAAAAAAAAAACAAAACAAAAAAAGCCCCAAAAGACCAGGAAATATAATCCGGATCCCTAAAAGATACGAAAAAAAACAACATATAAATGAATGGAGATCGGTAAGGTTAGCAGCAGGAGCAACAGCAATCGTAGTAATAGTAGTAGTAGTAGTAGTTTTTTCTTCTCAGGTTGATTGAGTCGGAGGCGGAAACGGAAGTGGAAGGATCAGAGAAAAGGAAATGAAAACCGCAAAAGGAAAGCGGAAATGGAAAACCGAAAAAAAACGACATAGTAAAAAAAAAAAAAAAAAAAAAAAGTAAAAAAAAAAAAAAAGAAAGCGTAAACGACATCGTAAAAAACGTCACAAAATCAGATGGAAAAGACGGAGATGACGAAAAGAAACAAAAGATGATGATGATGATGATTATTAAAAAAATGATGATGATGATGATGATGATGATGATCATCATCATCATCATCATCATCATCATCATCATCATCATGAAAAAGAAGAAAGAGACGACGACGACGACGACTGTCAATTAATGATGATGATGATGATGATGATCATCATCATCATCATCATGAAAAGAAGAAAGAGACGACGACGACGACGACGACGACGACGACGACGGCGACGACGATTGTCAATTAAGGTTTCCTAATATCAACCAATTTAATTCACCAGTAGCTTAAATGGCGGTCAGGTGAATAATTTGCCGGAAAGGTAACAAATCCAATTCCACCCACCCACCCACACACACATTCTCTCTCTCTCTCTCTCTCTCTCTCTCTCTCTTTTCGTCTCTATTTTCACCCCTTTTCGATATCTTTCCCCCCTCTCTCTCTTTTCCGTCATTCTTTCCCCCCCCATCTTTTTTCATAACTCTCTTTACAACCTCCCATTTTTCATCTCATTTTCACATTCTCTTTCTTTTACTTTCTCTCTCTTTATCATTTATCCTCTTTTTTCCGTCTCTCTTTACCACTCTCTTTTTTCCTTTATCCATCAGTTTTCCTCTCTCTCTTTTTCTTTATTTTTCTTTCTCTTTTGCTCTTTTTTCTCTTTTCCTGACCCCTCTCTCTTCCCCTCTCTCTCTTCCCCTCTCTCTTCCCCCTCTCTTCCCCCTCTCTTCCCCCTCTCTCTCTTCCCCTCGCTCTCTACCCCTCGCTCTCTCTCTTCCCCTCTCTCTATTCCCCCATCTCTCTTCTCTCTCTCTTCCCCTCTCTCTCTCTTCTCCGCTCTCTCTTTTTCTCTTGTTCTCTTTTTATCCAACTCTCTTCTCTCTCTCTTTTACTCTACTAATTTTTCTCTCCGTATATTTGGCTCACTCTCTTTTTCCTGTCTTTCTCTTTTTTTGACCTTTCGCTCTCTCTATTATTCTTCCCTCTCTCTTTTTCTATTACTCTCTCTCTCTCTCTCTACCCCTCTCTTTTTTGACCTTTCTCTCTCTCTCTCTCTCTCTCTATTTCTCTTATTTTTTTCTGCCTCTTTTTCTTTTCTATCGTTATGTCTGTTCCTCCCTCTCTCTCTTTTTTATCTCTGTACCCCTCTCTCTCTCTCTCTTTGTCTTGTTCTCTCTTCTTTTCTCTGTCTATTCTTCTTTCTCACTTTTCTCTTTCTCTCTTTCCTTTTTTTTCTTTTCTCTCTTTTTATTTTTTAAAATTTTGGCCTCTTTCTCACTGTTTTTTTCCCATTCTCTCTTTTCCCTTCTCTGTTTTCCTTTCACTCTCTTCTTTTACTTCTCTTTCTATTTCTCTCCCTCTTTCTTTTTCTCTTTGCCTCTATCACTCTCTCTCTCTCTTTCTCTATCCCCTTAAATGGGTTAAATTATTTGTTATTTGCTGTCGAAATACATTCTGGAGTTGCATAAATGTATCCCACTTTACGAACGGCATTAATAACATTGGCATTTTACATTATTTACATCCTACCAAACGACGCAGATGCCAGCCCATTGGCTAATGGCTGTCCGGGGTCACCGTTGAGAAATGTGTGTGTGGGGGGTGATAGTGGGTTAGTTTAATATCTGCTATGACGATCCTATTCTTTAAATAAAATAAAAATAAAATATAAAAAAAACAAAAAAACAAATGCCGTGTGGCTGTTTTTTTTTTATAGTAATGTAATAGCAAGAATGTCTGTTAAAGTGGTCATATTAATTTTATTTGTCGGAACAGATGCGAAAATAAAGATATCATCATCGCATATATTGTTTATCGAAGATTTTACAAGTATATTCAATGCAGTCTTTCTTCCTTTATATGGACGTAGGCGATGATGGCTCTCCACGTCTACCTATAACTTGTAGCTAACGCTACCTCTTCCAGGCCTTGTTCTGTCATCTACTTTCTTAAGCCCGCTAGGTATGTCGCGCGTTGCTTTCCCGTGTCTCTTTTCCTCCTTTATCCACCCTGTGAGTATCAGATTCTCCAAGCCCTCCTTTCTCATTACGTGTCCTACAGATTTCATCCACCTCTTTCTGATGTTAAGTATAAGCTTCCTCCTTGTTGGCATCCTCTCCAAAACCTCATCGTTGCTCACGCCGCCTTGAGTCTCTTCTTCGTCTTTAAGGAGACTGTTCAACGTTCGCTGTCGTAAAAGAGAATTGGAATGCGTCTTTGGCCATCCCAATTCGTCTTCGTATCTCAGCCTTGCACTTACCGTTCTCTGTTAGAATACTTCCCAGATATTTAAACTTCTAAACCTGCTTCATTTTAGTGACGCCGACTTGTAAAGCGCTTTTCGAGCTAATCTTTTTACTCATGACAATGCATTCTGTCTTCTTGTAGTTTATCGTTAGTCCCTTCTTCACGCTCTCGTCCGTTACCTTTTCTAATTTCTTGTCCGTGTCTGCTATCAGCACTGTGTCATCTGCGTATCTTATGTTGTTAAGATTATCTATATATATCTCCATTCCCTTCATATCTATCTATCTATCTATCTATCTATCTATCTATCTACATATAGTTTTTTCATATCTATCTATCTATCTACTTTTCATATTTATCTATCCATCTATAGTCTTTTCTTATCTATCTATCTATCTATCCATCTATCTATCGTCTTTTCATATTTATCTATCCATCTGTAGTCTTTTCATATCTATCTATCTATCTATCTATCTATCTATCTATCTATCTATCTATCTATCTATCTATCGTCTTTTAGTATTTATCTATCTATAGTCTTTTCATATCTATCTATCTATCTATCTATCTATCTATCTATCTATCGTCTTTTCATATTAATCTATCCATCTATAGTCTTTTCATATCTATCTATCTATCTATCTATCTATCTATCTATCTATCGTCTTTTCATATTTATCTATCCATCTATAGTCTTTTCATATCTATCTATCTATCTATCTATCTATCTATCTATCTATCTATCTATCGTCTTTTCATATCTATCTATCTCTCTTTCTATCTCTCTCTCTCTTTATCTCTCTATCTATCTATCGTAGACTCTTCATTATCTATCTATCTATCTATCTATCTATCTATCTATCTATCGCAGTCAATTTATATCTATCTATAATTCTTTTCATATCTATCTATCTATCTATCTATCTATCTATCTATCGTCTTTTCATATCTATCTCTCTCTCTATCTATCTATCGTAGACTCTTCATTATCTATCTATCTATCGCAGTCAATTTATATCTATCTATAATTCTTTTTCATATCTATCTATCTATCTATCTATCTATCTATCTATCTATCTATCTATCTATCTATCTATCTATTTCCCACTACACCCCTGACACAGTGTGGGTGTGTAACACGCGGTGTGACTCAGTTGTATCTCAGTTGTTGCAGAAGACAGACGTCGGGGGTGGGGCTCTCCATTTTTGGAAATCCGAATTGACTAACGCAGGTTTGTATGTCTATGATTTATATATTATCCGAAAGCGCTTGACAAGGTACGCCCCAAAGAACGGCGAGCTAAGCTCGACTTATCGGAGAAAGATATTAGAATAAACCAGAAAGAATTAAGTAAATGCGAAAACACAGAAAAAGCCGTAAGACAAGGATGTATCTTCTGCCCGGAATTAGGCAACATTTACAGTGAACCACTTCTGAGAGATCTCGACGTCTTGCCAGGATTCACTATTGACGGCCACAATCTTCTCAAAATAAGATGACACAGTGTTGGTAGCAGACACAGTTGGAAAACTACAGGTAGTAAAAGAAAGCATAAAAAGGACTAAATAGAAGTCTAAGAAGACAGAATGGATGGTTGTCAGCGACGCCAAAGGAAAAACCCTAGCATGCGAATTACAAATTTGAGTTAAATCAAAATTAAACAAGTGCACGGCCACTTCTTTTTTGGCATCGTTCACATAGCCCATGATCATCATTTTTGCATGACAATCTATTATTGTCCTCGGACGTAGTGTTTCATGCTTTCCTTTCCATGCAGGCCATGATCTCCGAAACTCAACAATGAAAATCCACATTTCATAGCGTGCTACTATCTTGGCTTGCTCCTGAACAATCAAGCAACCGGCCACTTGGAAAAAAAATATTTCTGAGATGAGGTATTATGTACACTATTTACATTATTCGGACTATTGTCCTCATCTTTGTTGCCATATTTATTACAACGTTTCGGCCTTTCAGTATCTGTCTATATTTCTGAGATGAGGTAATATGTACACTATTTACATTATTCGGAGTATTGTCTTCAGATTTGTCGCCATATTTATTACAACGTTTCAGCGTTTCATTATCTGTCTATATTTCTGAGATGAGGTATTATGTACATTATTTACATTATTCGGACTATTGTCCTCATCTTTGTCGCCATATTTATTACAACGTTTCGGCCTTTCAGTATCTGTCTATATTTCTGAGATGAGGTATTATGTACACTATTTACATTATTCGGACTATTGTTTTCATATTTGTCGCCATATTTATCACAACGTTTCGGCCTTTCAGTATCTGTCTATATTTCAGAGATGAGGTATTATGTAGACTATTTACATTATTCGGACTATTGTCCTCATCTTTGTCGCCATATTTATCACAACGTTTCGCCCCTTCAGTATCTGTCTATATTTCTGAGATGAGGTATTATGTACACTATTTACATTATTCGGACTATTGTCTTCATCTTTGTCGCCATATTTACCACAACGTTTCGGTCGTTGTACGCTCTGGCCTTCTTCAGGTGGTTTGAATGTCGAACTGAAACCTTTATTTCGGGTAGAGTATTCTAGTTCTACGTGCCATGTTAGTTCACGAAAAGTGAATTCTCTTTTTTCTTTACTCAGTTTTAATCCTTAAGTTCTTTTGAACACTTTCAAAATATCTCTTTAAAGAAAAAGTCCTACAAATGATTGTTTCGGAACAGAAAATGCATAAGGCTTTATTGCCTTTCTTAAGCATGCCAATGTTTTCAGTCTCGTATTCTTTAATTTCTCTAATATCCTCTTTATTCGAATGACATCGTTTCTTAGCTAATGATCGTGACATTCTGCACAATCTATAACGGGTAGAAAGTCAAGATACACGTGATGAAGATACACATAAACGTGACGTATTTGGCACGCATGCCAAAGGTTGCCCATTCCTGGTAATAGCGGTTATGCTGAGCTATAGCTGCAGCACATTCGGAAGTGAAGAGAGGGCTGGCTGTTCGTTTCTTAGCTGGAAACTTTTTTTCTAGACTATAAAATTCTTCATTCCAGGACGGATCCATTCCGATACGAAGGCATCAGTCTTGGAGGCAATATGTTTTTGAAGAATGGAGCTTCCGCCATATAAGATCTGATACTGTCCCAGTGGTTCGAAGGAATGGCGCACAAAAAATGCCTTTGGTTTGCCATCAACTTTGAAAGTGAAAGTTCAGGTGCTCAAGTAAGGGGTAAAACTTCCACGGATAAATTTTTTAGGGCAGGATGTGAGAACGAGGAGAAGGAGGTTGTCCTGATGTTCTGTTGCATCACGAATGCAGGTGGTTCTGCAATAATCCTATTTACTTCTTATTCCAGGAGGCACGGTGCAGAAATCGATAGCGTCTCGGATTGAGGAATCAGAGAGCCGAGTTCGAATTCTAAAAGTTGCCCACTTCTGGTAGTAGCAGTTATGCTAACCTATGGCTGAAGCACATTCGGAAGTAAAGAGAGGGCTTAGCTGGAATCTTTTTTTCTGGGCTATAAAATTCTTCATTCCAGGACGGATCCATTCCGAGATAAAGGCAGCAGTCTTGGAGGCAATATGTTTTTGAAAAATGTTGAGAATGGAGCTTCCGCCATATAAGATCTGATACTGTCCCAGTGGTTCGATGGAATGGCACACAAGGAATGCCTTTGGCTTGCCATCAACTTTGAAAGTGAAAGATCAGGTGCTCAAGTAAGGGGTAAACCTCTAACGGATAATTTTTTTAGGGCAGGATGTGAGAACGAGGAGAAGGAGGTTGGTCTCTTTATTTGAATAACATCGTTTCTTAGCTAATGATCGTGACATTCTGCACAATGTGTAAAGGGCAGAAAATCAAAATACGCGGGATAATGATAGACATGAAAGATGAGAAAGAAGTAAAAAAGGTAATGTAAGGAATAAGTTTCGCGTGCCAGAAACAAGTCATCGGTGTGCCACGATTGGCACGTGTGCCAAGGATTGTCTACCCCTGCTCTAGATGACCCGAATCATTTCTTACTCAAGGAGGCACGGTGGAGTAATCAATAGCGGCTCGGATTTAGGAATCGGAGAGCCGAGTTCGAATTCCAGTTGGATCCAATACATTTACTTACGTGCTAATACCCTTGGAAAAGGTATCCTCTTCTACTCCCCACACCCAGCTATGGGTAAATACCATGACGTATCCCATATTATACAGATAAAGGAAGTGGCTCGATGATTCCGACTGCGGTCGACAAATGATGATGGACTTATTCGGTTTTGTTGCTTACCACTGCTCTAGATAACGTAGTAAAAGAAAGCGCGAAGAAAGGACTAAGCATTAATTGCAAAAAAAGGAGAAGCCAATAAAAGGAACAGCCCATTATGCAAATTATAAATTGGGGATATCAAGCCAGTACAGAACTTTAAATATCTGGGAAGTGTTTTAACAGTGGACAGAAGGTGTGACACCGAAATCCGAAGAAGCAATTGAACAGCGAAAGATGCCTTAAACAAATACTAAAAACCAAAGAAAAGAGCATCGAACTCTTATGTAATATCAGTCCACCTATCTGCCAGTGACAACCTCATCACAGATGGTGAAGAGACTTGAATCAACAGAAATCTCGTTCTACAGAAGGATACTGAGAATACCATTGACTGAACATGTCTCATCAACGTGCGCATATGCAACAATGAACACGTGAGCAATGTCAAAACTTAGCAGATACAAAAAAAAAGAACGGACTATAATTCAAGGATGTGTCTTCTCACTGGGCTTATTCAATCTATGCAGCGAGACGATTCTGAAAGAACTAGAAGTCCTACCAGGATTCATTATTGGCAGCCACAATCTTAACAATATTTTATGCAGATAACACAGTGTTGGTAGTGGACACAGAAAAGAATCTACAGATATTCCTCAAGAAGGTATGGAAGGAAAGAAAGAAGAAAGGACTAAACAACTGTAAGAAAATAGAATATATAGCTGGCATCAAAAACGTACGTCCCAGCATGCGAATTTAAATTTGGAGATTAAGAAATCTCAAAAATTTAAATATTTACGAAATGTTTTAACATGAATGGAAAATGCGACACGGAAATCCGAAGGTGTCTTTGGGATAGAGAAAAATGCCTTCCAAAAGTTAAGCAAAGTATTAGACACGGGAAAATGTCATTGGAAACAAAGAAATGAGTATTCAACTATTATGTAATATCAGTCCTACTATATGACAGTGAATGCGAAAACATCTCATCACAGATAGAGGAGAGACCTGAGGCTAATGAAATCTCGTTCTACAGATGGATGCTGAGAATACCATGGCGTGAACACGTGACCAATGAGAAGACTTTAGAGAAAATGTAAACCAAAAGGGCACTTATAAATGGATAGAAAATGAGTTCAGAAGATACCCCAAAATATGACAAAGATGTTTCTTCTCCCCGTATTTATTTAACCTATACAGCGAGTCGATTTTGAGAAAACTAGGAGTCCTACGTTTAACGAGAATAACAATTCCTCTTATTTAAAAAACTAATATTTCTTTAGAGAAACGTACGGACTTATTTCAACTTTACAGTTAAGCAACCCTGAAATAAATAAGACGTGGAAACTCGAGTTTTCCAATGAAGAAGTCAAAATCTAATACGAATACCTTTACCAAGTCTTTTATTCATTAAGAATGCTATGAAGTTCTTTTTCTGAATACACTCTCAATAAAGGAGGAATTTTGAATGGTATTTGACAAGAGAAACATTTTTTAAAACCATTTAGCAGAAACCTTGATATATTAGGGAAAATATATTAGAAACTCGAGTGTTCTAACCAAGAAGTCAAAGTTCACTCGGATATCTTTACCAAATTAAGAATTTAAGTTCCAAAGATCGGAACTAGGAAGTGCCACCGAAGCCGTCAATTTTCCCCCGCTTATAAAAGACAATTTGACAGATTCTCAATGACATGAAATTCTTTTTCTTGAATACTCACTCAATAAATGAGAAATTTTGAAAGGCATTTCAAGAGAGAAACTTTTTTAAAACCATCTATCAGAAACCTTGATATATTATTGGGGATGACAGAATAATCAAGAACTTATACTGGCAGCAAACCGCCTGCTTACAAATAGAAAACGAG